ATAGAGAGATAGAGAGATAGAGAGATAGAGAGATAGAGAGATAGAGAGATAGAGAGATAGAGAGATAGAGAGATAGAGAGAGATAGGTGGTAGATAGATAGATAGATAGATAGATAGATAGATAGATAGAGAGAGAGAGAGAGAGATAGATAGAGAGAGAGAGAGAGAGAGAGAGATGTGGAGGCCATGTCAGCTAATCTGTGGGCCAAAGCGTTTCTGCAATGCAGGATCCAGGGTGCCCCTGCGATGGTGGATCAGCCACGCAAACGGCGGCACGGGTGGGATGACTCTTGCTCCGGCTGCAGATGACGATTCACAGGCCCACGCTGCAGGGTGACCTAAAGTGCACATTTTTTTAGAAGCTGCTGCGAAAAGCTTCAGGTCGCCAAATGGGGTCCTTCGGAATCCCTTTTGTTGTTGAACTCGCAATGTGCTATTCCTGCCAGCAGATGTCTCTTTGGGCGAGGTGGGGAGCAGATTCGCCCCACACATCTGCCTGCCTCTTTCTTCCCTCTCCAAGGGCCGAGGCTGGAACCATAACCAGCTTCACGACTTAGCTGAAGACACACCCCGGGCCAAGTCTCTGTGCTGCTTCCAATGCCTTTTTGGGTAATGAAATGGCCCCCTCCTGGCCAGCCGTCCCAGATGGGGGGCCCACTAGATGTGTCAGACTACAATCCCCATAATTCTCACCATCATGAATCTGCTGGTAGGGAATGAAAGGAGTTGTCGTCCAGCCCATCTGAAGGACGCACAGTGCACTCAGCCGGATGTTGAGTAAATCCGTACTGAACCATGAGCTAAGCAGATGGGCTTCGTTTGCACAATAACGACGATGACATAACAATAAGAGTAACAACTGCTTCCTACATACAGCAGTAGCTCCATGTTTCTTAGGTCCTTGTTTAGAACCCAAATTATTGGAAAATACCCGGTCTAAAAATTGTGATATTCGCTGGGGGAAAGCAGGCGCTGGCTATCATGTTAAGTCATAATGTGATTTCTGGATTTGGGCATAGTGTGAATTTGGTAACAGTTTTATTAGCTTGGTTCAGTGTTTCTCAACCTTGGCTGCTTGAAGACGTGTGGACTTCAACTCCCAGAATTCCCCAGCCAGCCAGGCTGGTTGGGGAATTCTGGGAGTTGCAGTCCACATGTCTTCAAGTGGCCAAGGTTGAGAAACACTGATCTAGTTTATCATTCGGTGTGGTGCGTGAACCCAGCCTATCTGAACATCTTTGGAATTAAAAGTATTGGAGAAAATGTTGCCCTGGATTTGTCATGGGGAAGAGGGCAAAGGTTTTTATCTGCTTTAATCCAATATTTGTGGTGGATTTGAAAGTGTGCAGGTGCTATTACTTAATTTTGAAGTCCTCTTCCTTTTGAACAAAATTACAAAAAAAAAAAATTGCTCCAGGGGAACTTAGTCATACCAGACCTCAAGGACAGTAGAAGCAAAAGTGAATTCACACTGAACGTGGATGATTTGGTTGAGTTATATCACTCTTTGCCAGTCTCCCAGGTTCTACCAATGAAGTTTGGAATCCGCCAAGGCTGATTCCTTCAAGAATTTCATGGAGCTGGAACCCTTTTTCCAGATGTGCAGACATGCTTGCTTCTCCTGCGGAAAAGAAAAGTAGAGAGAAATTAGACAGATTTACTTTTCCAAAGCAAGAGGTTTCCTGAATTTAGGAGGAAAGGGACTTATGCCATCTGAAGCTACCTTTTTTCTGAAAGGATATCCCCTCCACCTGCTGAATAAAGCGATCCAACCTAGCACCAACTTAAGAAAAGGAATTCTTAGCGCATAAAATAATTCCCCTACACTGGTTTTGGATTGGCTGAATAAGGCAGCAACGAATGGATTGGCCCAGTTTTAGCTCTGAGAACTGAGCAGGGTGGACCCCTCGTCCTCCGAACCAGGACTGACGTCTCTGTCTTTGTTGGTTCCTCTAGATGCGAAGGGGACCATCCGGGAGATTGTCCTTCCCAAAGGGCTGGATTTGGACCGACCCAAGAGGACCCGGACTTCTTTCACAGCCGAACAGCTGTACAGGCTGGAACTGGAGTTCCAGCGCTGCCAGTACGTCGTGGGCAGAGAAAGGACCGAGCTGGCGAGGCAGCTGAACCTTTCCGAGACCCAGGTAAGAGAGAGACTGAGCTGCAACCCACCCTGGGCTTCCATGACGTGGATCTCTGGCGGCCTTTTCTCTGGAAGGGACCCCCCAGTGTCCTAGGCTGTGCTCCAAAGAAGACCCAGTGGTCTGGAACATCAGAGTGGCTGCAGGGGACCACAGATAGTGGGGGAGAAGAGAAGCTCTACTCCGGGGATCACATATGTTTCCAGTAGTGGCATCTGGCCCACTTCTCCAATAGCCACCGGTTCCCATGGGCAACTATGGGGACGGGGAGCAATCAGCCATTTCATGTGATGCTGGTATGTTCCATCAGGAAATGGGAAAGACCTGATCTTTTTGGCAGGAGATGCTGCCAAGGCTAGGTGACCGGGCTGGATCTGAGGGTCTTCGCATCCTATCCTTTCGAACACAAGTGTTGCCTTCCTGCCAGGAGAAGGGGAGCTTTCCCGGGTGCAGGGCTTTGAAAAGGATGACGGGGACGCCAGGCTACAGAAGGTAGTTCCATGGCCGAGCACGTGCCTTGCGCCTGGGTCTTCCTAGATTCCCAGAGCCGCTGGCTAGAGGGACCGGAGACCACATGGAACCTCCTACAAAAACCGGGCGAGTCTCTCCTGATCCGTGCGGCTTCTGCGTGCCTAAGAGGATGCTGGACTCCTAAAATCAGGGTTAGACCACAGCATCTTCTGGCTTTGAAACAGCAGAGTGTAAGAGGGCAGGCAGAGACACAAAACCGGCGGAGTGAATTACCTGGAAGACCAAGGAAACAAGAATGACCCAGATTTTAAAAAGGCATCTTGAATTCCAGTCTGGATAAAAGCATAATCTTGAAAACTGTAAGAGTAAATTCCCAGCCTCACTTAGAGTGAGTTAATTAGATTAGAGTCTCCCTGAAGCCCTTTCTCGCCAGGATCCCATATCCGGACTGCAGGGCCTCTTGTGCGCGGCTTCGCTCCCCACTTTTTCCAGCTCTTAAAAAAACTCATCCTGATTTTTCTTTTTCCTGTCTGTCTCTCTCCCTGTCGATGCGTTTCTTTGCTAGGGTTCATATGCTGTAGCAGTCAAGGGCTTGCGATACACTACAGTGTAGAAGCAATGCTCCTATCAAAATAAACAGAAAGCTTTCGTGGTTGGGGCAGGAACCTTTCGGAGTGAGGGAGGGGATACTTCTCACTTTCGGGAGTAGCCTTGCTGGCTGGCGTTCCGAGGCACCGCGTGGGGGCTTTGGAAGTGGGGACTGGAGCCTGTTGGTCACTCCTGCTGGGTTTTCTTACATTCTGAAAGGAATTCAAGGTCCAGGTTGGTTACTTGAAAACCCTAGAAAGGGCAAATGGTTTAGGATTGGCCTGGGGTCTAAGGAGGGTCCCTTCCCATCTGCACGTCTCCAGAGATGTGGTTGTGGGTGGCCTCTTCTGAGTCCTTTTCTGCTCTCAAGAGCACAGAGCTTGGGGATCGTATTTGGGGATCATAACCCAGCTCAGGCGAGAGAACCTAGCTGAGCTTTTACGAATTGAAGCAGGGTCCAGCCCTGTTCTTGGATGGGAGACTAAAGGAAAACTAAAACATTTTGGAAGAAGGCCGGGGCAAACCACTTCTGTAACATTGCTAAGAAAGCCACAAGGACTTGTCCCCAAAGTCACCCAGAGCTGAGCTCAGCTTGAAGAAGACTTTGCCTTTATCTTGGGGGTCATGAGAGACACCTCTTTCGTTCCCCTTACTCCCTTGCTCAGCCATATCGTTGTCCCCCACCCTGAAACCCTGTGGAGCTCAGGAGCCCTAAATGGCTCCAAAAATTATTTTAAGAGCAAAGAAGGGGTCAGAGGGAAGAAGGCAGATCAAAGCCTTCTGGTGGCAGTTCGGTTAACGTGCATTCAACCGTTGTGGGGACTTTCTCAGATGCCGAACGGTTGCAGCGTCCAAGCAACTCCTTGTAATAAAGAAAAATTAGGGGTAAAGGGCATTGGTTTTCATGCAGAAGGATGCTCAGTCTGCTTCTTTGATGCTTAAGAATCCATTCCTTTCAAGTCTTGGACTCTTAGCATGTTTTTGCTTCAGAGGCAGCCATAGCAAAGGAAAGGCAATGACGTGCTTGTGTCCAGGCTGGGGTGTCTGCAGGGTGTGGTCAAAAAAATCAAGATGGCGACTTTGATCACACCATCACAGCTGCCAGATGGACTTTTTCGACCATGCCCTGCAAACACATCTCAACCCCAGCCTGGAGAGAGTCACCCTTTAGCTGGATGAGTATCAAAAGAGCATTTTCTCCCCCTTTCTGACGCCATCCCAAGGCAGCCTCAAGGTGTATCCCGCTGGCTATGACTTGTCACTCTGTTCCTTGCAGGAGATCAGGGGAGGAGGGACGATTGGCAACAGAGGGAAGAGGGATGGGCTGCGCCCTTTCATGCAGGTGGAGTCTTCTGCCACCTGGCCAATGGGGGGAGAACACTCTGACTCCGCAGCGGGAAAGGCTGAAGATGGAATCACGGCTTAGAGAAAGCAAAAGGGTCCAACTTCACCCCCTCTAGGAGGGGAGATGGAGGCTGCATAGCCCCTGTGGGCCCTGAGTGCCTTAGGACCAACGGCATCACGGAGGCTGAGAGATGTTCCACGTCTATGCACACCATGGCTCATTTCTGGGTAGATAAGCATAGGATTTGGAGGGGGATTCTCAACCTCAGCAATTTTAAGACGTGTGGACTTCAATTCCCAGAATTCTCCAGCCAGCCTTGGTGGCTGGGGAATTCTGGGAGTTGGAGTCCACACATCTTAAAGTTGCCAAGGTTGAAAAGGACTGCCCTAAAGGATGTTCTAAAACATAAAATTGTGAATATTTCATAAATACTTAAAATAGTACACATTTAGACAATAAGCTTGAATAATGCAACTTCATACTGCAGCATTGCATTAGAGCAGTAAACTAAGTCTAGGTTAGATCTTTAAAAGTAAATTTTGAACATATTTCAGTTGCTCTAAGAATGTGTCTCCTCTTCTAGCCCCACATGCAGAAATCTAGGAAAAATGTTCTTTCTTTGCTTTTGAATTAGCGTTTCCTCCAATGCTCCGCCTTTCTGCTCCCTTCTGTGCTTCAGATACAGCCCATGAACTGTTTAGTTCAGTATTCACCGTGTCCATTTTAAAATCCCGAAAATCTGGTTTGGGGAGGAAGGGAGAAGTCGGTCAATGGGGACAGCGGTTTCAGCCAGGAGCTGCCTACAATTGCTGGATTTGGGTGCAGACAGGAGGCCATCCCACACACGGTGTCAGCTGCTGAAGGAGCTGGTAACACTCACACAACAGAGCACCCATCTGGGCTTCAGACACGGCTTCCAGCGCATTGGCCTGGCATTCCTCTCCTTTCCAACTCTTGTTCTTCTTGAAAAGGAGGAAACACCGACAGGCTGTGCCATGGACGCTTCTCTTCTCCCACTAACCCTGTTCCTCCCCCTGCCCCAATCTTCTTGCAGAGATCAGACAGTGACAGTTCAGACCAGATCCCCACGCCGTAATGAACCCGCTGGGTCTTGGGTCTTGACCTTAGAGCTGGGCATGGCTTGCAAATCAAGCCGGCTCCCGCAGGTTCAAGGCCCTGCTGAGCCCAGCTGTGCAGGGAGGACTTCTCCAGAGGCAGAAGGGGCGTTTCCACATCACCCCAGACTCAGTGTTCGTTCGGCTGTGGGCACCCCTCCTTTCCAGCAGCACCTCCCGCTTTGGGTCTTCCTCCTAGGACTCACCCAGCAGGGCAGTCCCTGAAGCCCCCAGAAGGATGGGTCACTCCGAAGCTACGCTTGTTAGGCTGGGGTCTCTCCTCTAGAACCCCAGAAGGGCACAGCAGCAGGTAAAGGGTGTTTGTGGGCGCACAGACACTCAGGCAGCTGAACTTGAACTAGCCCAAGGCAAGCCCGGGCATCCTCCCCTCCCCACCAGCAAACATCTCCTCTGAGCCCCTCTGCTCACCTAACCAGCCTTTCAAAGGCCATTCAGAAGGACCCGGGAGCCCTGCAATTACTGCCAGCCCGGCTGGAGGGGGGGTTCCCCCTTTTGTTTTTCCGGAGGAAAACGGATGCCACCCGTCTGGCTCTGGGCGTCCCTTGTGCACGCTCGCTTCCCCGAGAGGGCTGGCTGGTCTTATCCCTCTATCCAGGCCCAGTTAATTGAGGGGAGGGCGGGCTTGCTGCGGGTGGGAAATAATGACAGGGCCCCCAACCCCAAGGCCTAATTAAGTCTTCTCACCCCCACCGGGCGCTTTTGAAGCAAAACGCCCCGAGGGAGGGCCACCTCCCTTTGTCCCCGCAGTGAAAATAGGGGGGCAGCTTGACTCTGAAGCGCTTGGCTTAAAACAAAAGGCGGCAGGGGGCTTTCCCCTTCCCTGCCAGGCCCCCCAGGTGAGGCTGGAAACCCCAAATAGGATTTCTTTCTTTTGGGGGGGGGGCAGAAGCTAGAACGAGGCGGAAAACAGGCCAGGCCACCAGGCGTGTTCAGAGAAGGAGCCGAGAGCAACGTCTGGAGCCCAGGAAAGACGCCCCGCTTGGCACAAGCCGGCGAGGTGGAGAGAAAGGCAGGAGATGGGGAGTCCTACAACGGAGCTGCTGGGAAGCGGAGAATGAATGAGCAAATGAATGAATGGGTGGGTGGGTGGAACAATGCTTGTGCCTGCATTTCCCCACGCACCTCCTCCGTCAACACCAGAATGCCCGGCCAAGCTCAAAATCGCCTCTCGATGACCTTATCATGCCGTCAAAGACTGAAAAAGTCTTATACTAGTCCAGTGTTTCTCAACCTTGGCCACCTGCAGATGGGTGGACTTCAGCTCCCA